CCCAAAAGAAGTTCACGTACCAAGTTTCGTTAAGATATCTCAATTTTTACTCGAGTTATCGTGTGCACAGACGGACGGACGGACGGACGGACGGACAGACAGTCACCGCTTAATCGATTTCTCTTTTCATTCTGATCATTTATGTATACATTTGTCTATATCTATCTCGATTCGTTTTGCCTGTTACAAACAACCGTTATGTGAACAAAGTTATAATACCCTTGTGCACAAGTGCGCTCGGGTATAAAAATGGAAGTCAGAACGACAAGTGTATAGAAAGAAGCGGGAAACGGGGAAAGGAGCGGGCTTTTGTACATTTGCTTGCTTGCCGAAAATATGATATTTGCGTGAAATCGATTTGCTGATTGCAAATTGATTTTTGCAAACATGTATGCATTTTTCTATTTCAGCTATGTTGATTTTCTAAGGGAATTTTTTTTGACTTTTTCCGCAATTATCTAAAGCCATGCAAAGTGGACCTTTTTATAAAAACTGTTTTATTATAATTTAGTTAAACATATGGATGTATGTATATATTTACTTATGCACATACACATATATACCTACATACATATATCTATGTATTGTACCAATTCATGAAATTGCATTAATGTATGCATGCGCAATCGGCTCATTTTTTCATTTCAATTTGCCGACGGCATTTCGCATGCGCAACCATTCTCTGTTGCTAACAAATTTATGTACAAATAATATACTTACTTATGTATGTACTATACATACAATTACTATGTGCAAACAAGTATTTGATTTCTTTTGTATTAACATTAAAATGTTTAAATGAATGCTATTGCAATAATTTATTGCATTCAAATTATAACAAGCATTAAAAACCCATTAACTAATTTTATTTTGAATTAAAAATTCTTTGCTGACGTTGAGGGTAGAATTTTAAAGTCAAAAAAGATAGTGACGGACGTTAAGGCGGGTTTTCACTATGTCAAGTTCAATGGCATTTGTCGTTAAATAGGTAAAATCACATTAGGGGTATTCTCTGAGTCTTGCAAAGCCCTTGCATGGTGCACAGATTGCACGGATTGCACGGTAAAAACCGGTTTTCGTATGGAACAGCTTTGCAAACCGTGCAATCCGTGCACCGTGCAAGGGCTTTGCAAGACTCAGAGAATACCCCTATTGTCAAATGGAACTAAAAAACGGGTTATTGATTGATTTAGATCAGAGTAGGTCCTCAGTCGTGTACATGCGCTGCTAAACTGGCTATCTGTCCGTTTTTGGCTTATACTTAATATATGTAATCGGTATGCATCAACAATCAACATAAAAATCTACAAAAGCGCTCACTTTTTTCACACACTTTTTCATTTTGCCTGGGAAGTTTTTTAGGTCCATCAGCGCCTGTTAATCGTCTAGCTCACTTACATATATTGTTTGGTGGAGTAATATACATTCTGTTCAATAATTTAAAAATTCATAGAAGGTGAAACCAAATCAGGCACCTACCGGAAAATAATACCTTTCGAACAAAAGAAGAATCATTCAAATTGGTTGAGAAACATAGGAGCAGTAGGGAGGAATATATTTGTATGGGATTTCGTTAGCGTATTAATATATAAGATAGTAGATGGTGAAACCAAAGCAGGAATTCATAGGCTTATACGGAAATTGGAGTAACTCGGCTCTGGAGCCACCTATCGGGTCCAATTTTTGCAAGTGTATTATTTATATTGAGAAAAAATGTGCTTTATCATTTATCACTGCTATACTCGTATTATATGTAAATAATGGGGCATATTCATAGTTAAAATAAAGTCGACACTAAAGTTAGTTACAGCTTTTTCACATCATTTTCAGTTTAATATGTATCTGCGAAAAAAAGCTGCAACTAACTTTCTTCTTATTTGGGACTGACAAATTGATCAGCGTTGCCGTTTTGCTTAAATTTAAGCAAAATTGCTTAACTTTTTCCTGACTGTTAAAATGTTAAACTTTTCTTCGGTTTGCTAAATATTTTTATTAAAATAGTCAAAAAGGATAATTTTCCTCAAAAATTCATAGTCAGAAGAGTTACTATTTCAATAAATTTTTCAAATGTATTTTAGGAAGACTGTCATCCAGATCCCACATAAAGTTCCAGCAAATGTTGCTCTAGGCAATTCCCGATCTGCGGTCGTCGCATTTTCAAACCTCCGGGTGTACTTCTGCCATGCAATCGCTTCTCATAAAAACCATTTGCCGTTCGGATGCGACCTAGAACTTTAGGTCCCTTCATTTGCGTGAAAAGATCAACACGCACATTTTGGATAACATGATGCCTAACTCGTTTTTTTCATGCATTCAAAAAACTAGCGAAAGGGCAGATAACTATCATAGGAGTATGTGTTGAAAGCCTGAAAGAATGTGTAACAGTTTTCAAATTTAGCAACTGTTTGGCCCGATTTCAGATGGCCTACTTAAGTAGAGATTGTTGATTAATTTCCACTATTCCTTTTCAGATCATACATTTAGTGTGTACTTAAATTGCCAATTTTGCTATTTAAATATGAGATATGCAACCCCGTGTTTATACCAAACAACCAAGATTCATTGGTAGGTTGTTTAATCAAACTAACCAAGTCCCACCTAAAACAATCAGCTGTTCAGCAGAAAATGTAAACAAACATGCAAATGCAACAACAATTTCAAGGAATAAGCAGCAGTGCTGCCAATTGTTTGGCATATTTTAACAAAGTTGATCTGAAACCCAACTAAAGCTAAATGGCATTTAAACAACAATCCACAATTAAACTTAAGTGCCGTTTAAATATTCATTTGAAATTGGCCCTTAGACTATAACATCCTTACTTTTGACGACAAAACTCAGCCTTAGAGAGCCTTTACTTACTGACTTGCTTACTTTTTATTTTTATAACCAATTTACCAAGCTCAGGAAGAAACAAACAGTAACTCAAGGCATTTTTCGTTTTAATAAGACCCGATAAATAAGTTGCTTAATTTTAACGGGATTTGTTAAACTTTTTGAAAGATTTTTTTAAACTTTATTTTTCGGGCGCGGCAACACTGAAATTGATAACGTTCTTACATGCATACATACATATATAGGTATGTGTACATATAAATGTACATATGTACAACTCACGGCAGCATACATACATATGCACATAATTACACGCATACTCAAAGCCAACAATAACTATTTCATTCATATTCGCATTCGCATATTTCTTAAGGTCAAGATCATTCATTCAAAATCCTACAGCAGCACATCTCCCCGCAAATTCATCACCTTCAAGCGCAACTTTGTCAATCCGACACAAAAATTCTAAAATGTAAAATTGCAGAAATCTCGGCCAACCAAGTGAAAAGTGGCACATATTTCTCTATATCCAGTAAAATAAGTTATCTCGAATTTTGGTAATTTTTGACAAAACACTCAATTTCTCTGTTCCCTTCCAATATTTCAACCACTACCTGTGTTTTAAGGTGTAATTTTAATAAACATTAGATATAAGTGTACGTTTTCTGCAGGAAAATACATTAATTTTTTTTTAATAAAATCAAAACTTCTAAAATCACACACATATGTGGTTTTATCGGAAGTTCACAAATGTAACGTGGCAACTTAGCTCGTTTTCACATTTTTCGGTCCGAAATTGTAAAATTTTTGTTCATGACGCGCCACGATTTTTGTACAGGTGGGTCAATGTGCCTTGAACACCATATGCATATATGCAAAAAAATTATTTGATTTATTTTTTAATTTTAAAAATTTCTATACCTCTAAGGGCCGGTTGTTCAATGCCTGATTAGCACTAATCGGAGGTAGAAGCTCTGGTTAAATACAACGACTGTTTTATCGATCACATGTTATACGCATGATGTCGAAAACGTCGATAATGATGTTTAACCGGCAAGTAGTGATAACCAGACATTGAACAACCGGCCCTAAGAGTTTATAAATATATATTTATATATATTCACAGATTATTTTAAATTTTTTCAACCGTAACCAAATCTTCAGTACCATAAAAAGATTCAGACACATTATAGTACAACCAATGCGATGCCCAAGCTAGAGCTACTCCACTGTACATGTGCATATGTATATGTATGCATGTATGCGTGTAAAAAATGTCAATTCCAGTTTGCTTTTAACCCATTTTTGGTTCCAGCTGTTAATAACCACTATTTTACAACGTTTTTTATGTTTAATCTTCATGCAAGTTACATGTATCGTCGAGAACATGGTTACATGCAGAATTTTAAATTTATTATTATTATTCTCCATACAAAATGTACAAGTATTGCCTTATTAAATGCAAAGTTATGCGAAAATCTAAATGTCTCGTAAACGTGGGGTTAATGGTTTCGCGCACGTGCCAATCTGGAGCCGATTCGCAGAAATTGTATAATTTGTGATGATGGAAGCGGCGAGGGGAAGACGAAAGCAGATCAATCGTATATATGTATGTACATATGTACATTTATAAATGCATACATACTTACATTTTCATTTGTTTGTCTTTTTGGATGCATGAAATATTTGGTAGGAGAAATAGGCATCGTACAGTTCCATAAGTAAAGTAACTCTTCTTCTTACCGTTTTTTGTGGCAGGCTGTAGGTGTGATTTTGACAGGCTCTAGGTGTGTTTTTGCTAGTGTATTGGTGTATTTGCGTGGGAGTATTGGTGTGGTTGCTAGCCCAACTGACGTTAGAATGGGTTTTGTGAAGCAAAACTTCAGGATTCTGTGAAGCTGTTGCATCATTTTTTGAAGTTTAAATTTTCGAACCGGGTTGTAGTGTTATACTTTTTTCAAGTTTATATTCTTTAGATTTTTTGATTTGACATTGCAACTTAAACGCTAGTTGTGGCACAAATATAATTTAAAACATGTTAAAAAAATTGAGTTTTATGAAAAATATTTGTTTACAATTTTTTTAACTCTGAAATAAATTTTTATAAGCTAAAGAAACATCTTTTGATGTGTAATTTTTTATTTCGTACTATTGTGAGAAGGTAAGGCAACCCTCTTGGCATTTATTTCAGGTATTCAAATTGAAAAAAATAAGACGCAGCCATTCGGGCTTTTAATATTTTCTTTTAATAGAAAAATTGAATATCTTTCATAAAATATACATATTCTTATTGAACTACACATTTTGTTCAAGTAGTACCGTGTAGAAAGAATTCATTAGGTAAGTTATTTTAATGTATGCCATTTACATATGTATATGTATGTATATGCATGTACACATTTATTTCAACATAGTCGTTATAATTTTTTGTCTGCATCTTTTCAGAAGCAAAATGTTGAACAAAAGTTGTATCGTGGGATGTCCTCTGTATGCATTCCCTCCGATGGGAGAAATTACCAGGTGAGTACCCCCTCTTTGTGTCGGTGATCAACATTGTGGGCGTTCGCATCACAGCCAATGATTGCAGGAAGACGTCTCCTGCGACAGAAGTACATCAGCTGATGCACCTCCAGGGGCGGCACGTTGGCGTTGTCCCCCGACAAATATGCCGCAGCAAAGATGATACTGGATAAATGAAATACATTTTGAAGTTTTGCAATATACACGGATTGTTTAGTTATCTCTTCTAAATAAATTATAGTGTTGTCCAGTTAACAATAGTCAAAAGGCACGATTTTATTTTATAAACAGCAAGAATTATAATATTGAAAATATTCATAATCTAGCCATAACATTTTTTTAAATACGAACTATTTTTTATGTTCAAAATAATCTTCAAGTTACATGTATTGATAGTCGTTAGGATCCTGTGGTCAGGCGGGTCTCGTAGCTCCATCCATTTCAGTCGCCAGGGTGTTACTGGCTGACTGCCACCTATTTGGGTTCCACATTCATTGCATTTGCTTACTTCCATTGCACCGCCACACTCAGTTATCATAGGGTATTTGTACCAGTGACCTTGCTTGTAGCCCATTGCCTTGTGAATCATTTCGCGTTCGACTTTAATTTTTTCGAAGTGCTGCAAGCCGCTTATGCCCTTTTTGACTTCGGTTTCTAATTTGTTGGTGAACCTGTTGATGCTTATCAATTTCTTTGATGCTGAACTGAACTCTTTTTATTATTATTATTATTACCTTCTTACCTTCCTTTTATTAGCTCGGGATGTAACTATGTAATATTGATGCGCCTAAAAGATGCAGTGATTTCTATTCTCAAGTTACATACCTGATGACAGTACGAATGGCAATTATAATACGGAGGTTTTAGTTTTTTAGACTATAATTTTATTTTTCATGTGATAGTGTGTTGTATATGTAATTTTATTTGCATAACCACACGTTCCTTTGCATAAATGCTTGTACTCCAATTCGACTTTGCACGGTGCTTTGCAGTACTTCAATAATTGTCGTGAGCTTGGATCTACAATGGAAAATAAAAACGAATGTTAACTTCAAGAGTTATTTGCAATTGCATGAAACCCTGACCTGTCTTTTGAAGATAGCATGGTATTTTCAAAGAGTGCCCACATAGTGCAGGTTTTGCTAGGTTCACCAAGACCTTGCAGTCTGAAGTGCATGCCTCTTTGCATTTGTTAGTACAAAAGTGTCCACAAGGTAATAATTTAGGACATTTTCCCCTACATTTAGACGGCGCTGCTTTTCACTTCCACCATATGGTTGCAGGAACTCATCTTTTTTTCTGCAAAGTATTGGTAAATATAATGATCGTACGTAACGTATACAATTTATATGCAAAGCAATAGATTACCGAGAATGGACAGCTTCCGCATGGTTCGCACCATTTCGACGGGAACTTGTGACCACAGCTTAACTTGCGCTTGCAAGGTCTGTCGCACTCAATTTCCTCTACATTCTTCGAGAACACAAATGGCTTGAAATGATGTCCGCAAGAGCGGGTTTTCGCGACAATTTTTGGACACAGTCCGCATTCTTCGAAGCATTGTTTCTTACACGTGTGATTTTCCACACAATTGTCATAAATCCGATCGCAATCTCTGTAGCACTTGTACTGAAAACCAAATTTTAAATCAATAATTAAAAATAAAACATTAACGGTGCATCTTCAATTATCGCACTAGTTTTAACAATTTGCTCAAAAACATAAGTAGGACACATTTAATTTAACCAAACTCATATACATACATATATGTACCTCGATATGTTCCGGGTCTTTGTTAACATGACACTTAAGCTGGCACACATGACCACACGGCAAACGTTTCTCGTAAGCATAAGTGCATATCGCATCTTTGATGGGAAGGTGACACGGCTTCTGGTTGAAGTGATTGCAGTCCGGCAATGTAGCTTCGACCTGAAAATTATAGTAAAGTTGTGGCGATTTCTAACTCGACGTCTTAGAATAAAATATGGAATTTGCTAATGTATCACACCTGAACATAGCATTTAAAATGTTTGCGGATCCGTGAAGCACTGCATATCTTCAATATGTACATACTAGCCACTATAGAATTCCTAAATCAACGGTCTATAAATATCTAAAGTCATTAATAAACCATTTAAAGAATGTAGCAAGCTTACCTTTCGACAATATGCTCTTAATATCTTCACAAATGCACGGTATTGTATGATAATATAAATTTCACAAATGCATGTATTGTATAAAACCATAGTTGTGTTTTTTTACAAATTATCCAGTAACTTGCCAGCAACTCTCCAGTAACTTAATTTCTAAGAATTCGATCTCATAGAACAAATTTACAAAAAAGTACGTGAACGCTTTTCCAGTAATAATTTGCAAGTTTCATGAACAGCATATTCCTAATAAAACAATATATTTTATATTTAAATATGTTTATTTTGTGAATTTTCACAATAAAAAGCCACAAACAGTTTCCTTATTAGTTTAAATTTCATCCAGCAACATGCGATCAGCTGTTTTTCGTGCTGGCAAATTCTTACAAGTAAAAATTTATCCAGTAAAATCCAGTAAAAACTTGCAACTTCAGCTGTCATTAGTTGCGTTTTTTTTACTGATTTCCAGTAAAATCCAGTAAAAGTTTTTACGAATTTTCATGTTTTGGCGTTTTCCTACGCAAAAACTTGCAAAGTAGGGGAAATTGAGAGAGCGAAAAATGACAGTTGAAGTTGCAAGTTTTTACTGGATTTTACTGGATAAACTTTTACTTGTAAGAATTTGCCAGTACGAAAAACAGCTGATCGCATGTTGCTGGTTGATATTTAAACTAATAAGGAAACTGTTTGTAGGTTTTTATTGTTGAATTTCACAAAATAAACCTATTTAAATACAAAATATATTGTTTTATTAGGAATTTGCTGCGAATAAACAACCAATTTATCAGCTGTTCATGAAACTTGCAAATTATTACTGGAAAAGCGTTCGCGTACTTTATTGCAAATTTTTTCTATGAAAGCGAATTCTTAGAAATAAAGTTACTGGAGAGTTGCTGGCAAGTTACTGGATAATTTGTAAAAAAACACAACTATTTTTCGCTCTCTCAATTTCCCCTACTTTGCAAGTTTTTGCGTACGAAAACGCCAAAACATGAAAATTCGTAAAAACTTTTACTGGATTTTACTGGAAATGAGTAAAAAAACGCAACTAATTGTAAACAAACCGCGGCCATATTTATATGTAGTGATGTATTTTGTGGTACTTATAAAATGCATCACTACAATCACAAAGTTGCATTTTATGGTAACATTAAAAACAATGCAAAATCGACAAAAAAAACTTCAAAATAATATCTATGACTAACAAAATTTACAATAATACATATTTTCTTAGTTATAGTAATGCTTTTTTAGTTATAAATTCCTAAATTTGCCCGAAATTTTTTAAACTTTTCAATAAGATTTATTGTGATTTTTTAACCTTTTTAATGCAACAATGTTACAAAAACGTGCGGTTTGAAATCAGGTGATCTCAGCTGTTGACATCTTTTCGCTATCAGCTGATAGTGTTTTTACTTATGAAACTGTACGATGGAAATAGGTAATGAAATGAAGTTTACAAATATGTGCTTTATAAATTTAGGTTTAGTTAAAGGGTGAACACACCAAAACTGCGACACTTAGGGCCGGTTACTCAATGTCTGGTTAACACTAATCTCCGTTTAAACATCATTATCGACGTGTTCGACTCCATGCATATAACATGGAGTCGGTAACGTCGATAACGATGTTTTCCCGGAGATTAGTGTTAACCAGACATTGAGTAACCGGCCCTTAGAAATTACTACCAGAAACAAACTAGCAGGCTTTGAAATTATTATTTTTTGTATTATATAACTTGGAAGTTTAGATGTTATTAAAATGTTAAAATATTAGTTATTATTTGCTCCATATGCAAGTGATCGGTATTTTCATCGCACACGCGCCATCATGTTCTGCTCGACTGCATCATCGACTTTACGCGATGCGCACAACTACTTTGTTTTGCACTCTTCAATATTTTTCACTGTTTCACCTGTTTTCTGCAAGATTTCTTTGACAATTGACCAATATTCCCCAATAGGACGTGGCTCTGGGCTATTGGGTGGATTGCAGTCGTGAGCAGTGTTGCCAGAGCTTTTTGGACGAACCGGCTAAATTGGCAAATAAAACCGGCTAAAATGTTTCAACTAAATTTTACATGTTTTACTTAAATAAATCACGAGTAAAAAGACTATTTCTCGGAGAGAAGTTACAAATTCGAGCCGGAAAAAATTTGTAAGTGGGCAAAAATGATGTTTTGTAATTTAGGCAGAATTGAATATGAATTGTCTGGGAAGACAATATCTACATATAATATATATTCTGTTTGTTGGCACTATATTCAAACACAAACGCATCTTAAGTGTCTTAACAGTGAAACAATTTCTTATTTTCTAAGTTTGCGAATAAAACTTCACATTTAAAATTAAGACATTTATGACAAACATTTTATGAAGAAAATCCCTTCTTCGTTTAAAATAAAAATAAGCGAAATCGGCCCAATTTCATACAACCCTGCCTGACATGAAAATTTTCTCCACGATAAGGCTAGTAGCAATTTCTAACAGATTTTGAGTCGCTTAGTCAAAAATGGAAACATATGTATACACATATTTGAAATTTAAGAAAACAAGGCAAATAGCAAAATCGCCTAAAAACGGCTAATTTTTTGCTGCAAAACGGCTAACAAATCGGCTGCCGGCTAAATCGAAATTTCTCCGGCTGTTTGCTATCGCAACCGGCTAAATCTAGCCGGAAAACGGCTAAAATGGCAAAACTGGTCGTGAGGTACAAAATTGATGTTATTTGCATTATACCACGGCAATGTGTCCTTGGTATAGTGGCAGGTTCCCACGTCCGCCTAGAACAGTGGCCTACTCCTTATCTGTTGATAACAGAAAACGCCTTTTGAGGCACTCATCCCGATAAACTTGATCATTCATTGTCCCGGATGAGAAAAAAGGGATGCTCTTACGGCCACAGGATCAAATAGCTTGCCAAACCATGTGGTTTTTTGGAAATTTGGACTTCATTTTCAGCTTACAACTTTCAGGGGCATCTTGACGACTTGCACCAGTATAAAAATCTTGACCTGCAATATATTTTGAATTTTTATAGCATTAGGTTTCGTAGTCCATAACAATGCAGTTGAATTTTTTAATTTAGAATTCATACAACTTCCGAATGCGGGATTTCGCT